AAGCTGTGCCAAGGGCCCTGCAATAACCCTAACTCCCTCAACACCCTGGGGTGGTGAGCATGTGGACCTGCTGATTTGAACACATCCAGCCCCTCCAGAAGCTCTCTAACCCAGTCCTCCCCAACCTGAGGTCTGGAGGTGTTCCCCTCAAGTCCGTCTTGCATCACGATGGGGAAGTCCTGGTCCCTGCACAAGAAAATGGAGGTGAAGAATTCGTTAAAGAGGTCTGCTTTCTCCTCTGGTGCAACCACCAGATTGCCCAGAGTATCTTGCAGGGGCCCCACATTTCCCACTGCTTTCTTCATCCTCCCTATATATTTGAAAAAGGACTTTTTATTATCTTTGATCTTGGACACTAGTCCTAGCTCTATGTCCACCTTAGCTTTCCTGACAGCCCCCCTACAGGCCCGAATAGGGGAGGTATACTCCTCTTTGGTGATAGCAACCCCCCTTCCACTGGGTGTACGCCACCTTTTTGGCAATCAGGCATTCCCGGACACCCTTGGTGAGCCAGGAGGACTTTCGGGCACTTCTGCCCCCCTTGCTTCTTGTTAGGATGGTCACCCCTTAGGCCCTGAGTATCGTCTCCTTAAGGACCGATCACTCATCTTGGGCACTGAGCTCCTCTGCTCTCGAGAACCCCAGCACCTCTCCCACTAATCTCAACATATTGAAGTTGGCCCTCTTGAAGTCTAGGGCTACTGCCTTGCTGCAGGCCCTTGGCACCCTGTGCTGGATAGTGAATTCCAGCAAGCGATGATCGCTATCACCCAGGTGGTCAAGGACCTGGTGGTCAAGTCAGAGTTGCCAGTAAAGTGGGCCCACACTGATTGCACCTGAGCTGAGCATGTGGCTTAACAGCTTTGGTATTTCCTCCAGAGTGAAGGCAACAATGTCAGTGTGAGCTCAGACAGAAGCCAATCTGGCTGACCCACTGCTAAGGTCAGCCTTCCCCAAATACAGAATGGCTGTTATAGCAGAATCCACTGGAGGGAAACAAAACTGCTGTCTCACTTGTTGGGTGCCCAAGGTCTTCCTAAATCCACATCAGCAAGTGGCTGAGTGCAGCGGCTGTGACCACCAGAGCTGGGGGGGGAGCACGAGACAGTTTTGTTTTTCTGCAGTAGAAGCCTGGGAAAAGATCTGCCAATTCCTGTGAGTCCAGCATAGGAAGGCAGGGGACACATTTCTGTAGGCAAATACCAACAACCAGTCTGGTTTACAGCTCCATTAAATGTAAGACTGAACCATGCCATAGCTCTTCCACTAATAAATCACCAGCAAGTCAGCACAAGTTGGTGTCCTACCAACCCCTCAGACTCTGCCACTAGAAGCTCTCGCCTGAATTACACATATGACCTTTATCAGCCGTTAAACATTTTGTCCCACTGGCTCCTTCCAGGTTGAGGACAGCAAAGAGACTCCAACTTCACCCACCTCTGGAAAAAAACCCCAGCTAAGCAGAAAAAAGGGAAAAACCAATCCAGGCTGAAATGTTGGTGCTTCCTATCCATCCCCAAGGGGTGCCATCATACTATGCTGCTGCCACCACGGGGCACTGCAAGCTCAGATACCAGATGCAGCGTCAAACCCGGAGCAGGATCTCTCAATGGATCTGAGCTCCTGAGCAAGTTCTGCTTCCTCCTGCAGACAGCAGGGCAGTGGAAGGTGGATGGGGGGCCAAGCTGTTGTACAGCAAAGCTGATGGTCAGTTTTGTACCATGCCCCCGTTCCCGACTTCTCTCCTGCTCCCAACACACCCAATGTACCCAGGGTCACAGGAACCTTGACACTGGCATCATGGCAAGTCACTTCATTCAAGGCAAAGTATCCAAGCCTGAGCATCTCCCCTCACCATGGAAGAGGAGCATGGTGCCAGCTTTAATGATCCACAGATTCTACAACCTCTTAATTATTCAGGTCCAGAGAAACAAGAACAGGAACCTGTTATTGCTCAAGACAGCAATGGATGCAACATGTGTCCTGCAGGGTCACCAAGGGCAATTGTTTCACCCTGCTGAAATGTTTGCCCTTCATGACCCTGCTGTGGGAGGACACCAAGGGAAGGGCCCAAGTTGGCTCCCAAATCCCAGGAGGAGGTTGCAGGCCTGTTGCTTCCAAAGAAATCTGCCAAAGGTTTAAGAATGACCTAGCTCCACATCATCATAACACTGGGACCCCATGCTGGTGGGCTTGGTCACATCTAGGATCGGGGACGTCCTTTAACGCAGAGCCTCAGTTGTTGAAAAGTATAGCAGCTCTGGATGAGCTTTCACATAACCAGGATGTCAAGGCTGCTGATAGACATGAATTTTTATAAAACCAAAAAAACCCATAAATTGCCTCTTCCAGAAGAGTGTGTTAGTTCAGCCTGGCTCCACAGTATCTGAATGGATCAAATCAGCTATTAGACTGGGTGCTTCAATGGGGCTGTTTTGGCACTCTGATCTATACAGATGTTGGGCAAGCCAGGTCCAGCTAACATAATACCTCTTCTCAGCATGTGCTGGGCTCAATATGGGGCATGCTAAGTTTAATGTAAAGTGCCATTTGGTTTTTTTTTACGTTTGTAAGCAGCCCAAGTGTTTAGAGTTCAAGGTTGGCACTTCCACATCACTCGCCAACATGTATTTTAAAAAAAAACTTTATTGGAAAAAAACCCCAAAGTTATTTACAGTAGTTCTCGTTCCATTTTGCTCCATAAGTTTCATTAAAGGACTCCTTCCCTCCCCATGCTGCTTCACTCCCTTGCCACATCCAAAGCCAACCAATCAGGGCAGCACCATGATGATACAGGATAAATCAGTGTTGCTCCTGTGATAGCTGAAAGCAGGACTGTGGAAGCTCTGCTTGCTCCCTTCTGCCACAGACATCAGCCCCCACACCAATCAGCCAGCCTGCCCACTCTCCCAGGGCAGGGAAGGAAGCAGAAGAAAGGAAAGCTCCTTTGACTGACGTGTCCTTCTAAAAGATCAAAAGCCTGGGGATGAAACAGCCAGGAATTGGGCACTAGATTAGGTCTGCACCCTTTATCCTTGGGGGGGTGGGGAAGGGGGCAAAATAGGAATCATGAGGGGAAGTAGTGAAAAGCTGATGGCAACTGTCCTTCCCCAGACACACCCCATCATGACAGCACAGAACATGCTATGCATGATTACCAGGGTAGGAAGTTTCCAGACAGTGCACCAGCTGTCCTTCTGCCTTGAAGGGAACCCAGAGGTAGATTTTGCATTGCCTCGCCCCTTTTGAGGTCCTGTGCACCAGCACATGCTGGGACTAAGACATAAGTGAAGCCAGAATGCTCCCATTTCACATCTAATATGCACCGATGCACAGTACTGGAAGGGGCAGACCAGAGAAGCAAGTCTCTGGCCTGTCGGAGAGACATAGGAAGTGGGATGTCCAATTGCTACAGACAGCATTACTTGCAGCTCCTGATTTCTCCTTTTTACTCCCACTGGGAAGGTTACTTAAGAGATTCCCCCAATAAGCTGTCACTTTTGCCTTTAATGTCCTAAGTTCCACAATGCACTGCTCTTTTCTATTGCTTACAAAATCTCCTGTCTGCAGCAGATGCGGATGCCAATAGCAAGTTGCAGCATCGTATCCTGCTAACATTAATATCTATTCATGCAACATAATAATTAGGCTAATAACCTAGGATTAGTGTTTCTCAAGATAGATAGGTATGTATATAATCACTATTTAACTTACATTTACAGTGAAACAGTAATATTTAAACACAGGGACATTCACTGACCCAGGTTGTCCCAGCTTCCATTCACTCTTGGCTCAGAGCCCAAGAGCTGCAATTCAATGAAAAGGTGCAAGTTGTGTAACTCACAGCTATTTGGATTCATAACCGCTCTGCCTGCAGTTTGTGACCCAAACCTGCCCCCACCAGCTACTGCAACTATTCATAGGACTAAAGATGTTGGTTTCTGTTTTCCTTGTTGTCGTGGCCATGGTAAGGTAAGGATGTGCCAAATTCTGCAGCAGATGTAGTGCAGGCTCAGATGCCCTGCAAGACCTGGCCTTTTGCATAAGCCAGCTGGCCACTAGAGATCACCCACCAGTGTAGCAGTACCTACATTCAACATGATGAAAGCAAGGCTCCAGGAAACTCCAACCAGCGTACATTTCATAGGCAGTTTGTCAGCTTGCTGCTGATTCAAAGACAACTCTACTTCTCAGGAAATGCCTTGCTCATTCCTTAAAAGGGAGATGCAGCCTTACACAGACTGAAATATTACGACTGTAGGAAGAGAAGCAGATACTCCATATCCGAACAATATCCCCTTTCCACCAAAAAATAAAAAAGGAATAAAAAAAATGGTACAAAAATTATTTCACAGTCAGTCAGGTTCACCCCACTTTCCCCACCCACACTGAAATGCCCTCAGCTGCTTCTGTCAGCGTTTCTCTGTTCCATGATACCATATGCACATCTTCAGTTGGACCTCAAAAGAAACACAGGGAAATGGGGGGGAGCTTTAAGAAGAAAATAATAATTAAAAAAAAAAAAAGGGAAAAAGAGAGAGTCACAATCAGGAAATGTTTCCAGCACATAAAATTGCTAAACAGCACCTCAGAGTTTTTACTGGCAATATACAGAACCCTAATATATAACCTTAGGGCTTCCAATTCATTCCACGCAAGAGAATGCCACAGATTTAATGTTTCCAGTTAGTTCCATCTTTGCCCCTCCAGGCCACAGGGTTATGAGCCAGCTGGCAACAAAATTCACAAAATGCGAGGAAAACTGAAGCCAAGGGGCAAATCCAAAAATAAGGAGAACTTTTCCTCCCAGGCTGCATCAAAGAAAAGGTTCTTTTCATCCCCCATGTAAGATGAAGCACTGATTGGACCTTTGTTACGCCAAGAAAAAAGAAAGTTAGTAGGCGTTTCAGAAGGGAAACTCTGTACAAAGTCTAACATTGTAACAAACAGGTGTGGTACTAAGAGGTGTGAAACTAAGAGGTCATGGTCACTCAGCTAAAAGCCTACGAGATCCTTCGAAGGAGCTGAGCTGACCTCCTTTGGGCACCTTTGGATAGAAGTGATGCCCTTGCCATCACATAAGAAACCCAGGTTGGAAAGGAAGGTGGAAGCCATGTGATAGCTCCAGAATGCAGTGACGCTGAATGAATGATATAAACCCTCCCCCACCATGAAGATGCTGTAGCCCCTTGGGAGAGGGAGTCTGCTTTTGAGATGAGCCAGCTTGCATAGATGTGGATGCAGTCAGATTCATTAGGTCCTGCTCCTGGTGGGAGAAAGCCTGAGCTCAGCCCCCTTGGGAAGCGGATCCTCACTGCAGAAAACAATCCACCTGTCAACAGAGACCAAACCAGAATAACCCTAGTAGAACGGAAGGAAAAACAGAGCAGCAGGAACTGGCCTGAGGCAGGCTACTTGGAGACTGGGGCAGCCTGGGGTTCCATGTGCAATGAGGGGGGCAGCTGCCCGTTCTGCCTCTGAGATTCCAGCTCTGCCGCCTTCTGCAGCGCCACTTCCACCAGCAGCTGAAAGCTGCTGAAGTCCTCTCCAAACAATTCAGGGGGTGTGGGGGGCGGCGTGTTGAAGAGTCCACTAGTAGGGCTGGCTGCATCCGTTCTGGCCAGCAGCGCCATGGTGCTGTTTGTTGTGCCCAGGTGTGGCTTGGGGTGGGGGTCCAGCTCCACCCGCTGAAAGGCGGCCTGCTTCTCCCGCTCCTTGCTGTGGGCGCTCACTACTGTCACGTTGCTGGCCAGCGTCTGGGCAGGGTGACAAATCATCTGTGGGCACACAGACATGGACAACACCTTGGAGGGAGCCGTGGCAGCTGAGGCCATGGGAGGCACCACCAACACCCCAGAGCCTGTGGTAGCTCCCCGTGGCAGGGTCATGTCTGACGTCTTGCCCCCTCGGCGTGAGATGGTGAACTGGTTGGGGTCTTTGCCATCCTTGCGAAGCATGTCAGGGAGGAGACGTCGCCTGGCATTGATGAACCAGTTACAGATCTGGGGAAACACAAACACAGCTCGGTCAGACCGATCCCTACTGTGAATCGGCAGGCAAGAAGCCCTGGCGGTCTGGCAGCAGAACAAGGCAGGCCTCCATCAGAAAGGAGAGTGATGAGCAAAGCCCTCAGCAACAGCTCAAGACCACTGTTGGCCCAGCCTCTCCCCGCTCTCTGAGGCTCCTCTGCAGAGGGCAGGCTGAGGTGCTGCCACCTGCCCTCCCTCCTTTGGCATTTCAGTTGAACACAACAGCTTCAAGTTGTGATAATGACTGCACAGAAGACCCCATCCCAGCCAGCACTGTCCATTTTGGGAACGGATGGCCCCAAAGGCAGAGTCTGCCTGGCCACCTTGTACTTTCAGTCTGCTAGGTATCCTCTAGGCTCACCTATCATAGAGGTGCTAGACAGAATGCAGCCCTGAGATCACATCAGAGGCAAGCAGCTTGCTCTTCCCCCAGACAAGCATCAGGCTGAAGAGCAACAGCATTTGATGGAAACACAGCTAATGAGACAAGTGGGCCCAAGGTACAGCTCAGGACAGTCACATATCTGCAGGGCCAAGTCTGTGTTGGGAATGGACTTGTCCCAGGTGGAGCCACTGGGCTCTTTCATCCGCTCTAGGGAGAGTTTCACTTCTCTGGGAATTCCCAGTTACACAGACTCAGACTGGGACTGACACAGCCAGTGCCACTAAATAGACTTCTTGGAGTAGCAGTGATTTACAAACAGCTGCATCTCTGCTGAGGGAGCTAGAGCTCTGCTGCAGCGCTACAGCAAACATGGTCCTGACCCCTCTCCTACTCCCAGTAGAGGCAGTGAGATTTGCCAGGGATTTCAAAGGGAGGTGGACTCACCCTAAAACAAATGCGGAGCCTGGCCAGCCCATCCTGATAACCAGCTGAGCCATTTCAGAGAGCACAGGACTACTGCATGGGAATGGGCCAGACAGAGATCAGGAGACTCACTGCAATATCAGACCACAGGTGTTGCAGGTAAGATGGAGGGAGAAATAGGAACTCAGCTGATCCAGACCACCAACCACCTGCACACTTGTAACCTGAAAACACACTGGCTGCTTGGCCATGCTGTGGGCTGCCCAGCCAACCGAGGGCAAAGCTCAGATATTCTTTCAAGATTCCTAGCATGCCTTCTTCCCTTGCGCCAGATCTGATCAGGAGGATGCAGTCTTTATATAGAAAGACTCCATCTAGCTCAATAGGTTTATGCATTCTTGGCCAGGAAGGAGACAGAATTCCTTTGTTAAAATAAAGAAGAAAGGAACTTTCTAAATAGACAGCCAAATTAACTAATGTGTTTGCATGCTGAGATACAGGTCAGCAGCACTTGGACAGGGAATACATGCATCAGTATGAGGACATATCGCTTGTGTGACAGTCTATGTTGTGCCTTCCACCCCAAAGCACTTTTCAAAGTGTACATGAGCCAGAATCCTTCTACTTGTCATGGAAATGCAGCCACCTCTAGGATACAATGCAAGGGCAGTTAACTGCAGATTTGTTTAATTATTTGGGGGTTTTCATTACCTGAAAGACCAGAACCCTGAGAGACTATTAATACTACAGTGGATTACAAAAATGATACTCTAACACTTCCCTGTATTTTGCCAAACAGCAAAGCTACAAAAAAAAGTTCAAATAAACTTTTGAAAGTATTTATTATATACAAATATTTTATTATATAAAGGTGCAGGACTCTGACTTTATATTTTGGAAGTTTTTAGGAAATGCAGTTTGTTCAATTCCATTTACAATGCACTGTTCTACACCTTGATATAAACATAGATAGATTAAAGCTACTGTGTTCTTCACAGAAAACAATTAGAAGAGTATAAATCACAAAGTGACTAATCTCTCCCAAATATTCCCCCTAGGGTCAAAAATCCCACAACTTACTGCAAGTTACAGCCCTTATGATCTTGGAAGGTTTTTTTGTCTTTCAAACAAGATTTTCTTAAACGCCTGCAAACAAGCCACTGTTATCCTAACCACATACATAAATACACCCTCCCCCAATCTCATAAGCCTCAAGCTCCCTCTGAAGTCTGTGTCAGTTCTGTGGGAGGTTTCAAAGATCAGAGAGAAAAAACACATTAAGTTCTACTTTGATTTGCTTAAATGGTTCCTTCCAGACCCATTCCAGGTCCAATCCTGTGCTCTCACTCAAGGGGAAGTCTTGTTCTGGATTTTACTGCTAGGAGGACTGGGCTCTATAAATACGTTCTAACCTTCTTAAAGGTTGATAAATGAGACAGACTCCTCAGATAAAAAGTCCTGCTGGGCTTTGCCCCATTTGCCTGATGCAGGTTGCTCAGTTTGGACACTACAACTAGAAAGGGAGGTGCCTACAAACAGCCACATACAACATGGGTAATAAGTAAAGACTAGATCCTCAGATGATTTACAGCAGCCGAGGCCTGGGCCCCACAGGAGAAAGCCAATGACTGCAGTCAGCCACACTTTCCAGTTGTTATATACAATGCTGTTGCATGTAGATTCACACCACAGGTCACCATCAGAAGGGGGGAAAAACATGAACGCATGTGCACCTACACACACACACACACACTCTTACTTGTTAAATGAACATTAAGGTGCAGCAGGTTCTGTAACTAGCCAGCTAAGGCAGGGCTTAACCACCCAGACAGGCTCTGCCTTACACTGTCTTCCCCCATAAAAATAAGTCAACCTGCCTTTAAAGTCAGCATTCATTCTACCCTAGTACCAGTCCCGTCCCCGTGTCCCTGGAAGCCACTCATAGCCGTTTCACAGTACTGGCCTGACATGGGAGTCCCCACTTCAGCCTTCACAGTATAAGACTTATGTGGATGCATGGGTAACGTACACAAAGCCTGCTGGGCTCCTGGAGATAGTTTTGGTTTGGTTAGGGAGGTGGTACAGAAGGAAAGAAGCAGCGCGGGAGGAGGGAAGGATGTTAATGCCAGACCCACAAGCTACAAAGCTTGCGCCGAGTCCCAGGTTTCCTGGGATCAGGCACAACATTCTTATCTCCTTTGCAAGAAGAGAGATACATGGCTTCCTGGTTTCCCTGGAGATCAAGAGCTGCTGCTCACACGGAGTCAATTGTTCCAACTGGTATTCAGCTCAAGCTGTATCTGCTTCTTTCCCAGACCTGAGGAAGGGCATTTTGTGCCTAAAGGCTTGTCCAATTTCTCTCCCAACTGCAAAATCGGGCCAATAAAAGGTATTACCTCACCTCACAAATCTTGCTTCTCCCACTGAAAGTATGTCAGCTTCTAGTCCCAGAGCCGAGAGCCCAGGGATTTAAAAAAAAACAAACAAACCACTACGCGCCTTTGACTGAGTAGTGCCCAGTATTTACTACCAATTTGAAGAGGCTCCCTACAAGCCCAGGCAACTGGCAGGGGAGTTAAATGAAAACATCATGAGAGAAACTCTAGTGCCCTCTATCCAGATGCCACCTTTGCCAAATGCAGTGTGCTCAGTGTGCGGATAGAAGGAATTTGTGCCCTTGGGCCTACATCCATTTGGTTCTCTGCAGTGGCAGGGAAAGAGGCCTGCTCAGATCCTCCCTACACCCTGGATTTGCTGACATCACATCTGGATGTGACAGCATGTTTACTTCAGAGGCATTCCTCCCTGCCCCCAAAACAGACCTATAGCACAAGTGGGAAGAGGGGATAAGAAAAGCAAATGGAAAGGGCAGTCTGTTTTGAGACGGGGCTCTGAGCACGTTAACCTAGACCCTCTGTATTGTGTTATTTACAGCCAAAAATATTCACTTTATCTGATGCACAGAAGTGCTACTAGGCCAACTGCTTCCACACCAGTCACACAGCTTTGCTGCAGCAACTTCTGGGTACCCAAAAATAAGAGGAATCACACTCTGTATAGCTGGCCACCACAACCAGGCATTGAAATGAGGTGACAACTGTGCACCTGACTGGCTTGAAAATCTGGCTCTTCAGCCTTTCTGCCAGAGGGACCCAAGTCACCTGTACAGCTTCAGAGCCTTGAGCTTCTGTTTTGTTCTCCAATGAGTTCTCTCTTTTCACACCAAAAGAAAAGGGTCAAGTGGCCTGGTCCAGCTGCTACTGTATTGTCTCACAGCTGTCATAGGGAGCAGGGCTCTGGCCCTTGACTGCCCTGCTCAGCATAGTCACTGTCTTGGTCAGTATGCAATTCAGTGATTCTCATTTACAACAGGATGTGATGAAGAGGAGGCACTTTGCTTAGAAGCTGGCACTGATCCCTTGGTTCAGTGAGCCCTGTGTTAAAACAGGGCAGATCTCTCTTAAGTCAGATATACAAGAACAAGGTCAGCAGTCACTTCTGGCCACTGGAAAGTGCCTTGAGGTCAAAACTTGCGCAGCAGCCCCCTAGCCAGACCCCAACTACGGCAATTACAATCTGTCCACTTTGCTATCACCCTTCCAGCCATTTGCTCCTTGTTTTGTCCCATCAGATGGCATTGCTCCCTTCTATTAAAAAGCTACTCTGCTTCAGCCCAGGGGTGGCTGCACTACAGCAGAAGGCAAGGAATCCCAGCACACAGTGTGTGGGGTGCTAAGGAATTAAGTGTGTAGGTGGCAGCTCTCAATAAGCCTCACACGGACTGGTGGGTGGCTGGGCCCTACACCCATCCCAGGGAGCCTGCTGAGTTAAGCCCCCCCCACTGAGCAGCCCCCTGGTTTGTGGCAAGGAGCTCTTGGCCACCCCACTGCAGAAAAAGCCTGCAAAAACTTGTGCCACAACCACCAAGACACTTGTGTCAACAGACGATGCTCTAGTTCAGGTGTTACATATCTGGCACAGCCTCCTGGTGCAGCAGGTGAGTACAGACCTGAAGACCAAGCAAGCAGTACAACTCCTAGCACAGTTAAGAGGATCCCCTGCCCATCAGGTTGCCAATGCACCCTCTCAGCATCATCCCTGCAAGCAGAGATACAGCTGTGACCTCACCATTTAAGAGGGGTCCAATAAATAAGGAGGATGCCCTGGCACAGATCCTAGTGAAGGAGATGGGTTCCCCCCTTCTGCCTATGACTGCAGCACAGGCTGACTTCTCCAGGACTGGCCTGCTGAAGCTGCAACTTGCAGTCTCTAGCCTGTTTCTGCAGGATCCTTCACACAGCCCTACCCAACCTTAGCACCATGATCTGGGCTCTCTAGGTGGGCATCCTGAGAACAGCCTAGGAGAACCCAAGTGGCCAGTGGCTTACTGATGCTGGGGAGATGTCAACTCATTTTTTGCCACTGAAAACAGGTGTTTAAAATAGTTGCTCAACAAGCATCAGTAGCAAAAAAAACAAAAAAAAGGTGACACCCTGCCCTAGGCACCCCTCAGTTGAGCCAAGTCCTCCTAAAGTGAAATGATTCACTCAGACCAGGTGTGAGCAAGTGGGTGGCACAGTCCAGCCCAGCCCATCACCTCAGCTGCAAATGCTTCCCCAAGAGCTCCTCTGGGCATGGTGAAGATATGCCTCAAATCAGACCACATTCACCCCTGCCCTGTGATAATAATTACACCCTCCTCACACACAAAGAGGCTGGGGAAAGGAAGAAAATGCCTACCACATAGTGGTCTAATTGAACTGCGAATCCCTACCCCATCCATCTCTAGTAGACACTACTCAGTTTGGGCAAAGGAGGCTGCATCTGACCTGTAGTCTATGAATGAACTGGGCAGTCAAAGACCTGGGCCAGGCAGTGGGGCCTACAAAAGCCCACGAACAAATATCTTGCAAACATGAAGGCTGCAACCCGGTCCCACAGCCAAACACTGCTCCTTTCCAGCCCCTACTACTTTGAGGTACAGCTGCACTCCTGTACTACATGGATGGGTGATTTATGTGCATGCAGTATGCAGCAGGCCTCCTGGGACCCCCGAAACATGCTGCAATTATGAAAGTAGCTGTGCATCTCAACCTTCTTGGCCTGTTTGCTTCTGTGAAATGGGTCTCCTCCCACCAACATGTCTCTCAGGAGTGCTACATTTAAATTGTTTGTTGATAAACCTCACCAAGCTCTTTCAAAGAGATCCCCTTGACCCAACACGAGTACAAGGGGTAACCACATAAAACATCCTTGGGCAGCACCAGGCCCCTATCCCAGCCTACTGTGCTGCCCCCCTCAGCCTGCACAGCTGCCAGGAGGGCAGACATGGACAAGAGAAGTCGAGGCCTGGCACATTCTCACCTGCAGCACCGAGAGGTTGGTCTGTCCGGACAGGCTGAGCTTCTCCTGCTCAGAGGGGTAGGCATTGAACCTGTGCTCGTACAGCCAGTCTCGGAGGATCTTCACCGACTCTTTGGGGAGGTTCCCCCTCCTCTTCCTCTTGCTCGACTGCGACAAGTCCAGCGACACGGCCCCGTCGTCCTCCCCGAGGTCGCTATCCGACATGGCGCAGCTGCCCACCAACCTCTCCGAGGGAAAGCCTGGCGAGGTGGAAACCAAACAGGGACCAGATCACAGGGCAGTTTACTGCAGCAGCACAACTATGGGGAGTCCTTGAAGCTAGAGACCTAGAGCAGGGCAGCTCCAGCCCATCTCCACTGCCTGTTTTCCTCCCGCCTCCCACTTACGGGGCTCCTGTTCTACCGCCTGTCTGGGATCCAGGGGCCAAAGCCTGAGCCCCAGAGAAGCTACTTAGTGCCTGAGGGGACAGGAGGGAGACACCAGGCCACTTGCCCCAGCTCCAGCGCGGGCCGAGACAGAAGCACACGCCTCGCAGCTCCAGCGCCTCCATCCAGCCCTTGGCGGACCCGGGGGGAGCGGGCTCGAGGCCCGGGCTCAGTGCGCAGGGAAGGGGGCGCGACACCCGCTGCCCGGCCGCTCTCCTCAAAGCCTGCTCCGCTCGCCCCAGGGCTGCCCCGCCTCCGCCCCACGGCCCCCGCCAGCGCTGGGACCCCCGC